ATGATAACAAATTGATCCATCTTCATTATATTTTTCCATTGACAGATTTTTCTTAAAAGATTTTCTTTTAAGAGATTTAAATCGAACTACCCCCGGAGTAAATTTGCGTCATCTTTTTTCTTTCTCGGGTCGATGTTTGAACGGTAGGGTTGTAGAGTGGCTTGAATGTAGGATAAAAGGAAATACGTGCTCGCGAAATCAGTGTTCTGGAAAATGACCTGAAACTCGGGGAGGAAAAATTGAATTTTGACATATGAATGAGTAAGCAGAGTTGGGTCTAGTCGCCCCAGTCGCGTATCGATTGACGCGAAAGGGATTCGAGATGTTTAAATAAATATTTTATGGGAGGTGTGCACGAAGTCCAACATGGGCATATTGAAATTTTTAGGGTTTCCATTTTTAGAGTACTGTGTTGTAAGTATCGATCGAAACAACAATTTTAAACAAAAAAAAAGGACATGTACATTTTTTTATGTATTACTCGAATAATGTTTAATAAAATTATATTCTGGCAAATAAATATACAAAATTTAAAGATAATAAAATAATAAAAATCTAATTATTTATCGTTCAAAAGCAAGTGATTGTTGAGGTGTTGGTACTCTTTAAAAGTCGATGGTAAGCGATGTGGAAGATGTTATTTCGAATTGGAGGAGAAGGTGGAAGACATAAAAATTTATCGATATGTATTCCTCTGTAGACAGGAGGATTTATTCGGAAACTTATATTCCGAGCTACTTCTCTCGACTATCCATTTGCAAGCCCATAAATAATATAAATTAAAAAAATATGATATCCGATAAACATTTGTCGGGGTCGTTTCAGTGTGATAGTTATATTGGATTCTTCAAAAGTATTCGACGTAAAACATTTTTAATTTTACTAGATTGGATATTTCAACATTGTTTTATCTAAATTATTGGGCTTCATACTTATACTGGATTGATATTAATGTAAATTACAGCTTTGGCACTAACAATAAGAGGAGATAATTCTAGCTGATTGACATGTGGCACGAGCATGTCGAGCATATCTTTGTTTAACAATCGCTTTGAGCCCAGCTTTGGTAGGATCCCGAAATATTTGAATTTAGTATTGAATGGCAACAGCGGTATCTAACGCTGATGATGGCTGTCGTATTCAGCGGATCCAAAATATATGGCTTCGTTTCATATATGATGTTCGGAAATATGTTAGATACTTTACATAAATCTTCTTACCTTTATGACAAAATTATCTTGACGATGAGAAACAAATATTGTGATTGTGCAAAAATTCGTACTTAAGATTATCTATTTCAGTATCATGTCTTGGCGTATTTATGTATATATGTATTACTTAAAAAGGTAATTACCTGCAATGGTGAAATTTGGTGTTTGACTGTTACACCAAAGTGTAGGTCTGTATAAAATGGAGTGTAGGCCACTTTAGTTAATTAAGATTGAAGGAACGAAATAAAAGCGACTAAAAAAAATTACCAGGTCAAATTAAAGCTTAAATCTTCTTCTTTCAGTAAATGTAAAAGGTGTTATTTTAGTATTAAAAGATTTTGTAAGAGTTTCAAAGTCAAAGAAATCGTTAATTAAAGCTTAAATTTTCCTCTCTAAGAAAATATATAATCCGTTGTTTTTTATTTGAAAAAGATTTCATGAAATGACCTTAAAAATAAGCTTGCAACTTTAGAGATGTAAGATATAAAATTTCAAGTTTGCTTGTAAACCCAAGTTAGATTGAAATTTAGTACGAAGATTATTTAAGAGAACTTGCAAATATTAATTTTTTATTTGAGAAAAACTAAACATCCAGTATGACCAAATAATTTTTAAAGTTAATATATAGACAGCCATAATATTCATTATGGCTTTGTTTATGCGATTATTGTATTTGATATAAAATTACCAGTTTGTTAGCTATCATTATCAAATATCTAAATGATAAACATTTGTGAGCTCATTTTATTCCCGTAAAGGATGCAATATTAACCAATTTGAGTATCAATTACAATATTTGGTGTTATATAATTATATAACATGTAGGTACAGGCGAGCAATACTGTGTAAAAATTGTAAATGTGAGTGTGTACAAGATTTGTAAAATTCTATATTATGCCGGTTGTTTCGAGTTCGAATTAGATACTTCCTAACGGTTGCTAATCACTTCCTAATGGTTGATCATAGAAGGTCAATTTTGCGAAATTTTATAGCAGAAATGAAGTTGTATTTATCTAACTACTGCCAGAGTATATAATTTTACCCGAACATTCTCTGGATAGTTTTCTCAAATAAGATGTTTTGATATTTTGTGATTTTTCATAAACACAAATTATTTTTCGTATAAAATTGGAAATACGATTTTTTTATTTTCTTATCAGATAAATATAATGGGAGTTACAAGTTAGGATTTCAAAATTTTAAATACATTTTACACGAAGAATTTGCAGAAATAGTTATTATTCATTGCTACGGAATATTGTCTTAAAAACTGCAATAGTCTTAGTAAATTCATCAGATTTTAATTTGTGGGGATGATACAGCTTCACTAACTTTATTGAAATCCTCTTTATATGTAGTGGAGTTATCCCATTGGAAAACCACTCCTCACTAAATTTTACGCCACAATTTGTAAAGTTTTAATCATAAAACAAAATTATACCTAACAAGTTTAAATTTAATTATTAACGAACGAAAAAAAGAAATAAAACTGGCATTTTTATAACAAAATATTAAATTAGAAAACATTTGCCAAAAGACTCGCTTGCCACCGGTAAGGGGCAATCGAACTTTTATCATGAAATCAGTAAAGGATATTTCCCATACTCTTTGACGTATGCTGTATATGTACCTATATTGAAATTGATCGTTAATTCACAAAACCTATCATACCACACGTGTCGAGAGTTTGATATTACTTTGCTCGAATTTAAAATTGATATTAATGAGCTTGACATTAATATTGATGCGCTGGATATTTAGAGTTAATCATCCTACCCGAATTATTTACACCACTACCACTATTATAGATCATATCGTAATTGAAAATAATGCTTTTATGTAAGATTAATGCTTTCTTTCTGTCTATTATGTAACGGATTATTTTCTTGTGTTTACTGGGTTAAGTATCATGGCTAAAATTTAATAAGTAAGTTTAGCAACAATATATTATTCCGTTAAAAACATATAGGTCCGGAATGAGTTATTATTCCTTATTAGTATAAGGAACTGCGTAAAAACATTAATTCTAGTGTTCAGAAAAAAGTTTTTTTTTACAGTTGGGGAATTTGCCTTTTGTTAATAAAAGATTTAAGATAAAATTATTTTCTCCAAAACGGTTAAGACTTAAGAACTGAAACTTTTCTTATAAATTACCGATTATTGAATGTGAGGTTGCAGAAAAATATTGCTTTTTCCAAAACGGTTATCATTGAAAAGATGATGCTTTTTAAATATATAAATGAACACTATATTATAAGCTTCTGCGGTAACCGTTTTATGTTATATAAATTTTTAAACATCACCGATTTAATTTGACTTTGTTAAACACGGTGTTATCAATAAAAATTATTCTCTCTAAAACGTTTGGGATTTAAGTATTCAAATTCTTTGAATATGTACATAAAAAAACGTTTGATATAACCTATACATATCAAATTTTCAGTTCGAAATAACAGTTTTTTGATAGAAATTTTTAAAATCCATTTCGAAATCCCATTTGAAATTTTGTTGGTAGGAAATAGGATAAAGCGCAGTAATTTGAAAACACGGCAAAATTTTCAGAATAAATTACCAGTTTCGGCTGATTGAAATTTTATATTTGAATGTTTGTCATAATTATAAAGTAAACATAGGATTAATTTGTCCCAATTTAAAATACTAGTTTGCATGAAAATATTTTCGGTTTTTGATTAAAATATTATATCTGAAAGTTTTTGTTAATTATTTAGTTATTGATTCTTTTCAATTCTTGTATAGATTATTTTTGGCAGAATAATATTCCTCGTTCTTGTTATAAACGTTGATATATTCATGTCTGTATTCATGGTGCCATTCATAAAATAAAAACAGAAGCAAGCTTATTTCATTCGATCTGACATCTTTTACGAGATTGATCGCAGCAGAATCTTCAAGTGAAGATTCTTCACTTAATAGAATTGTTCAAGACACTGATTAAACTTGTTCATATACTTATGCTGCTAATGGACAACATAACTTTACTTTTAACACTTGTTATCTTATTGATGCCGTAGCCAAAATCAATTTTGACCTAGAAAATGTGCATAGGAAAATCTTTGCCATACTATTAGAGGTGACAAAAATTAAGTTAAATGGTGTTAAGTTATTTATTTCTGATGTTCTCTGGCTAGCTTATTTCATTTTAATCGCAAATTACGTAATAATGAATTGAATTTTATTGCTAAATTATTTTTATTAATATTATTTTAGGGACAGGTGCAAAGCAATAATACATGGTTGAACTGGGTATACCGATCCAGTTCCATTTGTTATTCTTTTTATTCTTAACATACTGCAAATATTATTATTTTAATTTATTCAATACTAAAATTTATCGGAAAAAAAGATATGAATAAGCCAGAAAATTATTGTTGCATATTTCTACATTAATTTATTATAAAATAATGAAAACAAATGTATATCCCATCTGCGGTTAGTTGTTTATCCTTTCCTAGACTACACTTACAACAAAATTGACCTTTAATGTACATGTTGCATATTATTCTGAATATGTAAATAGTTTGTGGTTTGGTGTTGTAAAAGTAAACATTATTTTCTTTAATGACATCGAAATCTTTTAAGAAACAAGTTGAAATAAATCATTTCTGCTTAAATTACATGTAATGTATTGGCATTTTAATAGCAACAATTTAAAAAGAAATGTGATAATTATCATTTATGATATGCAATATTAATTAATACATTATTACATTTTTAATTAATACATTTATTTTAATTTAATAAAGTTTTTTCTCTTTTATTTTTAGCTGGAGGATCAGAGCAAATGTTGTTGCAACGTTTAGCGGAGCTTCAAGTAAAGTTGCAATACCTAGATTCAATGAATAGAGAAAAGCAGGAACACCTTCAACAGCTGTCACAACGTATTCAGCTTTTAGTGCCAATTGATAACAATACAGATTTCGGGGCAACGTCAGCACCCCTCAAGCCGGAAGTAAAGATGATATTGCGGAACATATCAGGCACGAACGCAGCTAACGGAATAAATCCTCCCTTCATGTTGCGGTTGCCTTCCACTTATCACTTCCTACCGCATCTATTGGACGATCCCCACAGTTTAAAACTCGGATATTTAATGTCTAAAGGAAGGGCTGGGGTTTCTGTTGTCCTTGGTATTCCAACCGTAAGAAGGGAGAAGCAAAGTTATTTAATTGATACCTTGACCAGTTTAATCGATGGAATGAAACCTAAAGAAGCGCTGGATACCGTTTTAGTCGTTTTTGTTGCAGAGGTAAGATCGTTTCACTTTCCATTCTAATAAATAGTTACCTACAAAATTGTTTAATCAAAGATTAGAAAGCGATCTAAATCTAATTTACACTGTTTATAATTTGTTGTTGCGTGTATATCCAATCAAGCGTTTGAAATCGACAATAATGCAATCACTTAATCAAACTTGCGATGTATGTCAACATGAATACCACTTTATTTGTATTAACTCGACCGTATGATGGGTTTCCAGGTTCATCAATTGAACTCTATAAGCAAATCGATTAGTGCAGATACAGGTCAAGTATTTCGCTTTAAAACTTAAAATCGAAAGAAACTTATATTAATGAGTCTTCTTAACTAAACATTTTTGAGAAACAAGCATTTCGAAAAATTCTGTATTGGTTGCAGTAGTTTAAAGTTTGTTTCCGGTAGACGACTTTGAAACTTGTCCACTCAAAGGAGTCAGGTTGAAAACGTTGCTGTTTAAAGAAACGTCGTTACGGTAGTTCTAAAATCGACGATGACAACAACAAGAGAAAGCCAGCTCTTACTCGGGTTCGCATCCCTTGAACTTTACCAATTACGCGATCGAGCACTTCTCGAGACACCCAATTAAGGGGGGTAACTTTATCTTTCGTGACTAAGAGCCCCCCGATGCATAATTACCGGGTTTAATGTTTAAGTTTGCCAACGATCGAATATCTGCCCAAAATTAACCATTTGTCTCAAGAAAAATTATATTTTATGATTAATTTAATTAATACTTTTATTACTTTTCGTAAAATAGTCTCATAACGGTGTCGAAATCACAAATTGCAAGAAACCGTAAATAAAGCAGTTCTTAGTCTATTAAGATTAAATTGCTAGGTGTTTAACTGGTAAGAGTGGTAATGCAGGTTGGATTCTTTTGATGTTGAATATGTACGGTCCAGTATTTACATGGTAGGTTGTTGAGTTTTACACCGGCATTCCGCTCCCATAATTCTCAACTGGGATACAAAGAAGAGAAAAGGAACGTATGATTGTAACCGGAACGGTCAAGGACATGCGTGTATTGTATTTCATCATCTCAAATTTTAAATGAGTCATACATATTACATAATTTTTTATGTTACGTTTATAAGAAGATTTAATTGATTTTAATTTGCTGCAATTAATGATATCCATATTAAATTAATAATTAATATCCTTAATTTGCATTTAAATGAACTGTTTTTTATCATATAATCATTTCTATCTATGATAATGCAAAAATCTGTTTAATGAGATGGCTAAAAATATTTTCTTTTTAAATACCTCAGATAAAAACGCTTGCATAACACAATAATTATCTTCTTGACTACAAACTAAAACTTGTGTAATTACGAGCACAGTTTCAGCTATCATCTACATCCCACCGGCTTATCTCAAGATACTTTACACAACAACTTCTACTAACTGGACGCATTTCGAGTGTAAACTGCCCTTGGAAACCATTCTAATTTTAAAACCCCATATCATCACCGTTCCCAAAAATTCATTATCATCATTCCTACACACCACTTTACAAAATTGAAATGTCCCGGCGAATACGGCCATTAACAACATAAAGTAGGGATTCTGGTGTCATAAAACCACAACGACCCATTATTCTCTGCTCCCTCTTTTTTCCCAGGAGAATCGGATCTACGAGGACGTTTCGAATAAACTTGGCATAGTTTCGCAGTTAATGAACTACTACCAAATTAGCGTTGCAGTATCTTGTTGGTTAATTAAAACGTAATGATTACGACCCGTTCGAAGTTCGAAACTAGCTCGTAGATTTTGCAACGGCAGGAGTTAATGGCAAATAGCATCTGTACTATTTTGAATGCGTTTATTTGTATTATAAATAAGATAATAAAATTATTATAAATGAATAAACGAATATCTATATTTCAAAATTAACTACCCATGTTAGAATATCCTTCTAATAGATAGAGTGTTATTGTTAACCGAGTAAACATTATGATCGCATCGTAATTAGTATCAACTGATTGAAAAACTAACACAACATATGCGATTGTGAGACCAAAGCTGCTTTATTAGGGTTATTTAGTCACGTTTCTTTTTGCCTATAGTAAATTGCTTAATACTTTGATTGTATTACATTGCTTAAGAGGAACACGAGAAGATTTGTGTTGATGGAAAGACTTGATAGATGGGTACTCTAATCGTAGAAGAACATTATCTAAATCACATAACTTAATGCAAGAAGATGCATAAGGTTAGATGCTTTTTGTAGTGTCTCTATTCTAGTAGATAAACACATCGTTCAGCTGATGATCAAATCAATATTCGTCAAATTTCTTCTTTTAGACAAGACAAATTTTCACTTAGGTGATCTGCCAATAAGACTCTTCGATGCGGGGTTTTCTTCCTTTGCCAACAAAACTCTTCTATCGTCCTCCATTTAATCACTAAATATATCATTTCAGATTTATGGCTATAGTTTCACGATCAAGGTGAGACTCATTTTTCGCTGTTCTCTTATTGATCTTCCATTATATCGAAGCAGTTTGCAGGCTTGAATATGTTCATATTAACAAATTTTTCCTACAATGGAATAAGACATTAACAACAATTTTAATCAATATTCTGGAGAGTGTATGAACCACTTCTCTTCAACCTAAGTATGTAACACGTTTTCATTACTTTTCTATCCAGTACTTAGATTCGTAATGGTTCATTGTTCTCTCTATTGGGAGTATCTATTAACGTTTTAGGTGTTAGTCTGCTACCATATTTCCATGGTACGGTTTTATCAGCTGATTATGCCGATCATGAAGTATTTTGAAAAAAGATTCCTTTTCCATAGGTTTATTATCTTTGTAAGTATGATAAAGAATTTAAGTTCATAATTTTGAAAAAATTGTTGATCATCTTTGACTTTTATTGGCTTTTTGTCTTTGTTGAATGATGGGAATATTTCTAATGAATTTTTCTAATTCTGTTTTGTTCATTATATGTCCCCGTTATTCCTGGCATTGATGCTCTCGCTGACTTTACAAAATGAGTTAATGCAAATTGAATGTAAACCTCGAATTCAATGAAGCAACCCCAACTAATATGTTGGGTGTAGACTACCTACTTGTATGTAACCTATTATGCATAGTATAAAATCAAAGTTTTACAACAGCAATATTTTGTGATGTGACAACATTAGGGAGGTTAACATGAGAAGAATTATACCAAGTGTTTTTTAAGATAACCATGGAGAGAAATCAAGAGGAGGGTTAAAAATTTTATTTGAGGAAGGAACAGTATAGTTGGGAACTTCATTGCCTCATCTTATTCATACGCCACACATCTCGCTTATTTCTAATTCTCATAAAGTTTCCAGAATGTAAGAGCCTATATTGAGGGAAGGCAGGAACGATGTTGGATAATTAGAAATATGAAGGATGTATGTCGGATAATTGTAAATATGAAGGGTGTATGTTGCGAGATATATAACGATGTTGAAAGCTGTAACATCCTATATTGGGGAAAATCAGAAACGATGTTGGAGCCATGTGTTAAAGGATGATCGAAATTCAGATATTGTGATTGTACCATTTTTATGCGACGTGAAGAAGTTAGTGTGGAAAAATACGGTGGTAGCAACAGGACACAGTCCCACATAAAAGCTACTCTACTCTAATACATTTTATATATAATAATTCTATGAAAACAAAATTGAAAATCGATCAATTAATGGCCTTAAGCATATGTGATGAATCCATTTCAAGGCAGAACTCAAGCCGCTGCAAAGAGATAATGCACTCAAAATCACACAACTGCTAGGGCGAGCACGCCATTATATTTGTTATCATTAAGTTCTGTTCTCTATACCGATGGTGTATGTTTTTCCTTTGGTAGTAATATACTGATTTTGTCTCTATATACACCACCAGCGGATGGTTAGTTTATAATAGGTCGTTTCTGGACGGCATCTCCGATGATGGTAATACTCTTGAGTTATTCTACGAGGGCATTTACAATATACTGGATCGTTATGTTATGTATAAAACTCATATCGTTGGTTTCAAATATCCTCCATAAATAAAGCATAACATATTAATAGATGATATTACCATGATAATGAATTTAGAAGATTGTGGAAACTTGACAAGTCATATTAGTGAGAATCCTAAAGAATATTGGAACATTGCGCGTATGTACAGCAATGGAATCATTTTGGACAATCCATCTGATATGGACGAGTTTGCTGCTGTATTTAGTCCTTTATGTCATCAAACTACTTAGTACTGGACTAATTACTATCTCGCGGACGCCACCTGCTGTGTTGAATAACATAATAATTGAGAAAGTTTTCGAGGCTTTCGGAAAATTGTTAAATACGAACACAACTCATAATAATGTGTTGTACCCTTTCCTGGGGAGTGAATGCAAATTTATTTTTGCACTAAATAATACCACTAATATTTTGTGTTGCTTCTCGTTCAAGATTATGGAAATGTGTCCACATCAACGTTATGTTAAAAATGGAGTAAGGCAAGATATAAATAATTATCGCCTGATTGTCGTTTCTTCAACATCAGCAAAGTTTTTGGACATGTTGTATAAGTTTCGATATTTTGGTCAGTTGGCTGGCTGATTGATCTCTATCATGCGACATGGTTTTCTAAGAGGCCGCTCTATTATGACTAATATGATGGAATAGTCATGTAGATATCATTCAAACCTGATATTTTGATTGCCAAGTTAAGTGCGGCTCGCGGCGGGGTCCCCGTTACTGTTCCTCGTTGCTTTATAGAGGATCGCTATAACTACGAGTTATACAATGTTTTTTTTTTTCTTTCGATGGAATCACCTCGGATGTGTCTCAGAATAGTATCTTGGGGCTATTTCTGGTTTCTTTCTTCTAATTTGTAATCTTTGAAGTTTGCTTTCAATTTTGATGTCCGCTGATGAGTCTGTGACGGTTGCTGTATGAGTCAAATCTATTATGTCATATTTATTTACACATGTGCTTAATTCTCAAATTTTGTAATGGAT